TTTAAGCGGGAGAGTTCGTCATCTGCGCATGCGTTAGATGGCCATAGCGTGTCATTGTTTACAAACAAGCGTCTACCCATGTGCCTTTTCGGTTTTTAGCGTGTGTTGTTACTGTCGCATAGGACTCAATTCCCGCGCGTGCGCAGATGACGACCCTCCCGATTACACTACACATCCATTGTACAATGGTTGTTTTCACTTGGTTCTAAATGGTCAAGACGGTTCCAGACTAACTACTGCCATGAGTGCCACAAGAAATAACTTGCAAATTGAACATTTTATAATTCTGCTCAATGTGCATCAATTGACTAGAGGTGCAACAATTGATTAATTTCTATCTTATTTACAAATACTTGTCACATAGCATATTACATAACATACTTCTGTAACTATGTTCTGGTCTGTGTCATAATGCATATTTTGCAAAATTGTACATTTTCAAAGAATTTAAATAAATTTTCTTATAGATATTAAGAATGGAAATAGCTAACTTAAAATATAAAGCACGTGTATACTTAAATGCCATTTTCATTGATAAATCTCAGTTCATTAATAAATTCATTTTTAGTGGTTTGAGGATAAATACAGGTTTCGAACCCGGGTCTTTGATGATGTTATCCTTTTCGTTTACAACAGTACTGAATAAAACTGGCAACCCCCTTCACCGGCACCTCTTGTCAGGGGACAATACCAGGGACGCTGCCTATGATTTGGACTCGGAAATTCAATCGATGTCCACTCGAAGCTCATCACCGTGGATGGTGCTAGTCATGTTGGGAGGATGCATGTCAGTTATTGTCGTGGTGTACGCTGTATTGATTCAAACATCAGTCCAAAAAGATGAAGTGAAACGTAAAAATAGTTGCTTCTATCGGCTAAATATGGTAAGATACTGTAACGTCATTGAATGTTTTTATATGTACACGGGGTTCTTTTAAGATTGTTCGGAAAAAAATCCGGCGAGTGGTAATTAAGGAGACACTTTATCGCGGTAACCGTGACTATAGTTATGGGGTTAGGTTTCAAATAAAAAATACACGTAATACCCGTGGCACTAGACTGGCGCAGTCGGGGTGATTAATTTGTTTTTTTTATAGTTTAAATAAAATGAAAAAATTTCGCGAAATCACCCCGAGGGGGTGATTTCGCAGTTACACCTCCATTTCGCGGATTTTTTTATTTTATTTAAACTACAAAAACAAATTAATCGCCTCGACTGCGCCAGTCTACCGTGGCACCTGTGGTAGTATGTATATCAACCTATTAGACGATTACATCATTCCATTCATCCACTCCGTCACGAGGATATGAGTCTGTGAAAGATTTCACTAGGGATTTGGAATTTGTGAGGTGTGTTGTTTCTTCTTTCCAAGGTAATATACCATTTTTTTTAAACAAATGTTTTCGATACTCGAAAGTGATAATATTAATTTCCTTATTTTGTTTCCAATTAGCAGTGTATGAAATGCTTCAGACCTTCGTCAACGGACATCCAACAACATACTAATTACCCCGTGTATATGGTGAAAGGTATCGACTGTTTTCGACTCGGAGAAGAGGGAATAAAGTCCACGGAATTGAAATACCAGACACTGACGTGCCTAAGTGAAAAGAATGACGATATCTACACTGAAAGACGTGATTCTGGTGTTGAGTGTTACTCTCCCACGGACGAATTAAAACAAATTCTCAATGATGAGATGCTGTGCACGGAAATACGCGGCGCTTTCAACTGCCAAGGTGGAATGATGTTCTCTGAAAACTCCGATGTCAAGTTAATCATTCCAGAGGGCGCACTTCACGGCGAGGAAATGAGGGAATTGTACGTTAAAGTGTTTGTCGATGTCGCTATTTTTGCTACCAAAATGGCAATCGACGACGATTCGTTTATTATGACTCCTATTGTAGAATGTGGGCCACCTGGACTTCAATTCGAGAAACCCGTGCAGTTGATAATACCGCATCGCGTGAGGGTTCACCGTGATGCCAAGAATATAGTGGCCAAGACCACGAGTAACTTGTTCCGTGCCTTCTACAGCAATAAGAAATTGTCAAATATGGCGACACAGAATGACATTCCTATTAACTTCATACCGCACATGAACGACGCATGCTCACACAAGCCAGCAACGTCGATATCCTTCAACGTGACCGGACAATTTGTGAACATCAGCACTGATCATTTTACCTTATTTGGTTGTATTGGTCCACGGCAGAAACATAATCTTCACCTCCAGACTTTTGCTTATTACAACAACTCGACTGATATCGCCAATAATAGACTATTAGTGCAGTATAGACTGTATATATGTTCACCTGACAAAGACAGGCGAAAGGTGAGTTCGAATACTGTAAAACCATTAATTTCACCAACATTTAATTTCACTGTTTTGATGTTATGAGCGTTTTAACTGGGTTTCAATTTCACGAATTTGTCAAAGAAACAACGATTTTTTTTTTACATATTCACGTAGATTTAATTTAGTGGATTTAACTTTTCAGCGAAAATAGCGAAATTAAAACCCAGTGAATAAATAATACATTTACGGTACACATTTCCAATAATCTCGCCCGCTAGCGACAGAACTCTTTCCTGACGTCAACATGACGTCGATAAGTGTAATAAATGCCGTTTAAATATAAAAACAAATGGGTATGTAGTCTTCGCCACAGACTGTTTCAAATCTAATAAAATGCAATAGTTTTATTGATGGACGGCAGCGTATTAACACAATATGGACGCTGAGAATTGCACCACTTAATACACCCCATTCATGTCACGAAAACGATAGAGGGCGCGATGTATAGCGACGTTCTTTTGTTTTGTTTTCAACACTTAAACGATGTAGGCTGATATGTGGCGCCACCACATGAAATGAAACAACCTTACACCTTTTTTCCGTGAATATCTAGTACCATCATCGTCCTGAAAAATGGGGATTAGGGGTGTTTTAATGGTTAGGGTGGGGTTCCGATACCCCCATTTAGGGTATCCGGTTTGATAACGGGCTTTTGAATCTTCCTCGGAATTTTCTACTGGTGATGTTCAATGGCAGCGATCCGCTGTTTAAAGTTGCTTCTCTCGAATCTGATGAATGATATAGTTGGTCTCAACTCATGTTTATATTATTATAATTTGCCATGTGCCGAGTTGATCTCACCTATACAATGATGACAACTAACAACACAACAAAGATATGTGACTCATGTAGGTGTATTTATTCATGGACGATGGTGATATACGGTCACCTAGCCAGAGACCTGGGGGGGGGGATTCTACGTTTCAAGTTGTCATGATGTTATCATTTAAGTTTAAGTTATTTGCTTGAATGTTTATTTTCAGAGCATCGAAGAGACCGAGAAATCACTCGGAGGTCGTCTATGTACTCCTATCAAACCATTCCACCTATTAAGTCATCATGACGTCAGCGTCGAGATACAACTGGAACAAATCGATGTTTGGAAGTTAAGAAGAACACCGGATATTGATCAGGTAATATGGCGACAATTCAATTTCTGTCTATCTTGGAAGCAATAACGTGCATGTTTATTGACATAATATAACTACTCTATAAACATTTTATTAATTTAATTTGTAACGATTTTTTCAGCTTATCACATTTGACGAATTTTACGACAACTCTTCATCGTGTGTTCAGTTTACGACATATCGGCCGTTATCATCAGGTGACATGCCACATCCCATTTGCATCATGGGAAAATTTCGGGTCAGCCAACAATCTCGGAAAGGTAAAAAGGAAACAAGTAACATATACAGTCAAGAATTAGAGCTGACGGGCGTTCAAGTTTCAGAGGTATGTTTTGTGTTGAGAAGGGTAAACTGGATTTTATAAATTGCTTTGTTACATAATTAATTCTCCTCAAAATTAAGAACTGTATTGATTATCGACGAAATGATGAAATTAGTCAGTATGCCGTAGATCATATCGCCATGCATTTCTACAATACAAAAGACAGGCATTTCACGACACTTATACACGCAAACTGGAAGTTCTTGACAAAACATCAGGCAGTTAAATCTTTATTTGGAGACATCAAATCGGAGTGGCCACCTTTATGACTATTTGCCTTCCATCACTCGTGGCTTAATTGTGTTCTCGCGAGATCGATTAGTTTTTTATCCATTCCTAATCGACTCGCCTTCTTGAGGCCAATAGTCTATATAAGCGTCGTGTTCGATATGGGTCGCATGCGACGAATACAGCGCTTGTGAAAACATTGTTGACATGAAATTGGAACTCTCGCTGAACGGCGCTTAAAGGGTCAATCACTTGCAATGATGAAGGTGGGTCGAAAAAACATCATCATCAATTAGGCAATAAGTTAACCTGGCATTTAATCACAATGTTTACAATTTATTTTTCAGAAACGTTTGGTAAATTGTAGAGCAGCCCGACCTGTATCACGTGACTCGGGTAAGTGAGTCATTATTTTAACTTGCTGGAAGGACGTGTGCCACCAACGATTAGGTACTTAATTACAAAGCTGTACAAAGTAGAAATATTCCAAGCCATAATTGAATACATTCTCCCACTTTGGTAATCAAACACATGTTTAAATATATGATTTATTCACATTCAGATAAACCATGCATGAACAGTTGTAGTTGTTATAATGAAGTCATCGTCTTTTATCAAGAGATAGGGATTTTTTAAGCCGATTGAATTTTCCTATTAACAGTGCAAATATTGTACCACTCAGTTTAAGAATATTGAAATAAATACCGTATTACAGATAACATTTCTCAAGATTCTATATTCTACATACTATATCAGTTCTGATCCCAATGATATGAATGTCCAACTGACATACTTTCACTAAACAAATAATACTTGCAAATATACTAAAGAATACTCAACACGCGTGATTAGTTTATGAGTAAACCCGTGCATTAATTATTTAATTTACATAAATTAGCCAATTTGTAACTGTTACATAGATAAAAGAAACAGATTATACATTATTATTTTAATACGTTTTTTTAGTTTTTGTTTTGTAGATCAGTTTGATCTCACATTGTGCTTCAGAGCAGAACTATATTAGCCAACAGGCTTTAGTTAAGGGGTTAATCTTACATTGACAAATATTTCTTATTTGAATTCATATACCCTCAGCACACGGAATATTTTTCAAATATTTTTTAATTATTGATTTATTAAGGATTGGTTTCAATCTGTCTCTAGGCAACGACGTGGATGACGCGGAAGTACTGCACAAGGCATTTACATGTATATCTGAGCAGTTGCCACCAAGACTGATCCGGAAATTTGCCAGGTTTCTTGGACTCAGTGAAAGCACGATCAAGCACATTGAGTATGATGAAAGAGGGTCTGGGGCCCAGGAATGTGTTTATCAAATACTTCTTAAATGGGAATCTGAGAAAGGCATCACCGTATCGTCAGAAGAACTATTAAATGCACTGGAGAACATTGAATGTAATGAAATAATAGAGGCACTTAATATGATTATATGACGCGTTGTTTATTTTCGACCATCTACATTACCCAAAGGAATACCGAGATATTTAGACGGGGGCAAATGCCCTGACCATCTACGCAACTCCCTTTGCATTTTAAGGCCGAAATCGTGATTTCATGGGTCCCTAGAACCATATTATACCAGCCTGATTCAACATTTTGAATATAGACGTATATCACGTGACTGAATATCACATTTAATTAAAACGGCTATATAATGTGATATGTCAGGGGAGGATACATGATTTTTCTATGGGGGGGGGGGTCCAAACTTTAAAATCGCCAGACTAAGTTAATGATTTTTTTATATTATACAAAAACAAATTGAATAAATACATTTTTCAACGGGGAGGGGGGGGGAGGAACCCCCTTAAATCCGCCACTGGATATTTTTAATGATTGTCAATTTCGTTTTGGGTTACTTAACCAACTTTGAAATCAAGGATAATAAACTTAAAGTACGGAACAATACTGAAAGGAAATCTACTGTTACGTATTTGTGTTAGAAATTATATTTTATACATGTAATATATTTATATCCATATTACGTTTATACTAGATTTTAGTTTTTTACTTGGTACTTGTCAAAGATATTTGTTTACACGTAGCCATGTTTATTTTTTTTCATTTTATTTCTTTTAACTTTAAGGAGTTAATTTGTCGTTTTTTATACATGTAATATACGTTTATACTAGATTTTAGTGTTCGGCTTGGTACCTGTCAAAAGTTATTTGTTTCCACATAGCCATGTTTATTGTGTTTTTTTTTCATTATTTCGTTTAATTAATTTGCCATGAATCTCGCACACTGGTTGCGTTTCGTGTTTTTATTTGTATACAAGCAATAGCACACCACATGAACGTACCAATACTAAATCTAAGCTTAGAATTGTGCACAAGCAAGTTTATCTAGGATATCTTGTTACTAACAACTGTATGAATGACGAGGATATAAAACAACAGAGTCGATCATTTTACGGCAGATACAATATTCTGCTTCACTTTTTTAGTTGCAGCAGCGGTGTTAAAATTACATTGTTCCGAACCTTTGGCGCTAACATGTATTGTTCACAGCTTTGCTTTCAAAAGTATAGACCACAGCTACTCTAGAGTACTGGATTTCTTTCAATATGTTCTTTTGTTTGTTTTTAATATGCGATGTATGAGTTTTTTTCTCGTTATGTCCTGCAATAAAGATTCGATAATAATAATAATTTCATTGGCCCGTGCATGTACTGCCAGCGCATACAGATGAGAATTTACTGAGTCATACAGATAATTTTATTTTGATATATGAAAATGCTTTTTTTTTCACGGGGAAGTAAGTAGAAAACACCTCTGACAAGTGTTGTAAGCCCGAACGAAAGTCCAACGTCCCGTGGTGTACACTAGCTGATATAATTTAAAGTACTAGCCAAGGTCGGTATAATCTCTCCATTTCTACTTTCTGTTGACAATGACAACTCAGAAGCCAGGACCACACCTATTTTATTGCTTCACTGGTTAAAATAACTCTACCTTCTCAACTGCTTAAAAGCTTGCAGTGGAAATGATGGCCCGCAGCGCCATGTCTTGTCTCTCATTAATGCAATAAACCTGCTGTAACACAGTCGCTGATTGGCTGTTCGCGCTAACAATCACTTGGCCGGTGTATAAATGCAAGAAGATTAAGCTAATATGACTTTAAATATTTGTCTGAAATATTAATTCTGCAAAACCATTAATGTGATATGTTTTGTCTAACACATGGTTGTGGAAGGGTTACCATGTTTTTATTATTCATGAGTTATCAAAGAATTAGTTTTCTCTCGTATTATTGATTGATTGATCGTATTATTGATCATCGTTTGATGGAATTAGTAGTAATATGAAATGTTCGAGCACAAGTGTTGTTCGATATCGCTTAGTGGACCCGATATTAAATATCCAAATGGGGATTCAATCGACGTTGAGATGGCCTCGAATGATGGTGAGCAAGTTTCTTCCCTGTCGTAGACGCATAGTGTCGTGTCATTCTTTTCTTGTAGATGCATAGGAAGGTTTGTCTTCTGGGGCTTACTGTTCCCACAGCGATTTCACATGCGCGTCGATTATGATCTGGGGCTGGTCATATCTTACTTTCAGTAGTTTCGATTATCAAGGGTAAATGACGATGAATAATGAGATGCAGCATATATAAAATATTAACTGGAAACACCTTTATTACAAAGACAGTGTCAGGAACAGCCCAATAGGTACAGTGCAGAGGGGCTTTTATAACCTCGCCGGGATTCGGGAAAAGATTGGCTGAATTACATCAACTATAAGATTGTAATTATGTATAAAATTAATTTTCTTCAACGTTCATAATATCCCTGAAAAGACCGAAAATAACAGCGATGTGTTAATTAACAAAACGAATATACGAAATGAAGTATTGACCGATAAATGTATACTAAGAGAGAGCGGTCGACAAGTCAACAGAAGGCAAGAATGGTAGTCTACGCGCATTCAACACGAGTAGATATTACTCGATACAGTAGTCGAAACGTCGGACTAAAAGCTGAACTCCAGTCAGAGTTGTTTAGTTAATCAACAAATGATCAGTTAGTTTGGAGGTCACGGTTAGTGATAAATCAAGTCAAGTCACTCTATTGGAGTATCGTGGGTCAATCCGAGTATATCGCCCAGCGATAAAGTCAGTATATGTGTCGCTGTTACTCTTTTTTAATACCACAACCTTTGACTGGTAAGTGTTCTCTTGTCAATTATGATAACGATTTAAAAGCATATTGTGCACCAATCTGTTGCATATAATCTGGCTAATAATAAGGATGCATATCCTAGCGAACGGGCTTCTGGAGTGTCCATGTTACTGCACCAGCTGTAATTGTCTGTCTGTGTCTATTTATTCTATTTGTAAGATACAATTGCATTGTTCATCTTCTATAATTTCACTAGATAAAGCGACGTCGTAAAGTTCAGCGTAAAAGTGTTCCGAGCAGAAGATTCTTAATAATCTATTTTATAACACTAATTTTAAGTCTTTTTATTATACTTTTGATTATCAGCAAAACATATGTCTGTCAGTGCAGTTTGTGAATGAAGTGAGTAAAATTGTCAATTTTACTGACCATATATAACCACTTAATTTATAAATGATGTTTATATCACTATTAGATCACCATCACATTCATACAATTTGTAGATCTTCATCATCAGGTCTCCTGGCTTCTGATTCTGTGACTCAACTTTGGATCTACAACATTATGTATTATAGCTGGCAATCAGAATTAAGCATATATAAACATTTTTTGTTTGTTTTTCTGCTGCTCATTCTTTGACTGAAAAGTATTCTCTTTCCAACAAGGATTATGATTTCAAAGTCTATTGTGTTACCCATCTGATGAGGGATACATGTCTTAGCGAACGTGCTTCTAATTTTCCTATTTTAAAATCTATTAGTCTGTATTAAGCTGGGGAAAATACGAGTGGTGTATCACTGCGAGTTGAAGATAAATGTTCTGAAATAATATGATTATCCCATGCACGCTTGTTACTTTTTTGGGACATTGGAGTATGTGTTTAGATGTTGACGAGTAACGGCGTTTCTGGCCCCACAATACACTGACAATCGGCGTCGCGCAACTTATAATCTCAGATCATTTTGCGTGGACGGTATTTAAGGATATTATTTGCGGGAATGCGTCTATTATTATGATTATATTTTGATGGACTGGCTAACGATATGCATGGAAATAATATGCTAGCATGAGTCTCTCGATTGCGCCTTTATCACGGGATTGTGTGTCGAATTAATTCGTCTTTTTCTGTCGTCATGTAGGTATTCGTTATCGATAGTTCTTTATTCGTGAATATTTTACAGGGATCGTACATTGCAATAACTATACGCGCAAAATATTCAGTTTAATGTCTGTTCCGTTTGAGCCAGTAGCTGAAACACCCGGTAACGCCCGTCGACAACTTTCCATTTTTCTCAAACTCACAGCAAAATCAGATATAATCGATACATTGGAAAGTCTCTGAAACCGCCCTCTAAAGTTGTACTAGTCCTTCATCTTCACAACATCAAACCAATCATAATCGTTTACATTATCAATATCATGTCTATGTCACTCAAACAAAATCAGCACAATAGCTTGACGTGCGTGGTTTTACTATCATTATGGAGACTTGATCCTTATGTATTAAATGAATATTTCAATTGTGTCTCGTTCGCACTATCATGTTTACCTGTGTGTACAAGTATCACAGTACCGCAGTGTATCTTCGCAGTATATTCGCAGTGTAGTTTATCCGTAAATACAACTCACATCAAGGATAACTTAAATTTCGGCTGCGGCATATTGAATGTTTGCAGATTGTTTCCGACCTGAAAATACGCTATTATTTCCCAAATGAATACAACAGTAATAATATAACTATACTTTTATAATTCATGTAAACTGAGGGTAAATAAATTTCCAATATCGAATTATATTGTGTTTATAAGAATGATTTTGTTTATTATTATGTAAAATCTACAATCCTTGAAATATATGAAGTCCACAGCTTACACTAGTCTATCAATGTTTTCCTGAATATGTGACGATGATTATTTATAATATCTAAATCATTGACCTTGGAGACTTGACCGAAAACACATCTGCATCTTATAGTCTCTAGATTACTGATTCAGGGACAATTTAGTTTGTCTTAAAGGTGTGTCACTGTATATTAAACTTAAAAGCTAGTGCATTGAATGTGTTTTATTTAAACTTGTCATTTACAATACGTATTTTATATGCTTGAATTTAAGTAAATAATTTGGGCATACCATCCTATAATAAGAGTAGACAGCTTACAACTCGGTATTGCCACACCCATCATTGGTAATGCTGAAGTACCCTTATTTAGTACTAAGCATACTAGGTGTAGTGACACACCAATAACACTTTAGGCTTTACTGTTATCATAATCACATATCAATGACAGAAAGATAATTTCAAACAGTCCCCATCAAAAAAATAGTATACAATAATGTTATAATGTAATATCAGCTGCTCATAAAACTGGTTGATAACGCGGGTTGTCATGGAGACAATATCCACTCAGCCTACAAATTATTGTTTTAATAATTGATAAATTAGTAACTGATACTGTGAAAAGTAAACGTAATCTCACGTAACCATGTTTGCGAATCATGGACTGATTTATGCTAATAAGGCATGACACTTAAATACATTTATGGGAGAAAATGTGCAATTAGGACCGCCGGCAGTTTTTGATACTCGTCAGAAATGTTATCTTTCTATTGACATATTTTTATTGTCATATTGTTGTTAACGCATCACTGAAATAAAAAGGCACTGTTTCTTTCTGTTTTTTTTTTTCATGTCTTGGATGACGTATGACGTGATTATTTGTGACGTTACCGTTTCACACTAAACGTCACAAATGTAAATGCTGCACAACATAGTAATTAGACATTGCATATCATGAAGCGGGTTACATTAGATTTATTTGGTTTGAAACATGCATTAACATATTTTAAATTATGCAGACATGAGATGTAGATTGAATCATCTGAATTGACTTATCATTTCTGTATAGCTGAGACGCTTTGATTCTTGTAAGGCACGGAAATCATGTAGGTCCTTTTCAAAATCTCCATCGTAATTTTTTATTTTCTGCCATAGCGTCTTATTAAAATAGTCATATAACATAAGGTCTGCAGTCAACCTACTCTTTAGTATTTGTTTCATTTGTGTTGTCATTGGCAACCTTTTTCGCTTAACCACGCGTCGTGACGCATACACAATGTCATGAAATGACCAGCACATCATTTGTTTTAAAAGAACAAGAGATTCGTCCATGTAATCAGTAATCATCATCAGATCCAATTCGTCGTTTATCTCTTGTATTTTCTGAGTAGTATTTTGTTTTATATCGTGCCCAAACCACCGAATCTGATTCGATATTACATTAAATCTTGAACGTTCTTGGATATGGGGATCTAAAAGAAAGGTTTTAAATGCATTGGTGTCATTCTCAATTCCAAGTATAATATTATGTCTCTTGTAATAGAAAAGAGATTCTACTTGAGTGTATGGAAAACGAATAATACTAATGTATTTAGCGTTTGGTATGACTTGTCGTGTCGCTTTGTAAGTGTCTCGTCCCATTGTAAAATGACAAGCAATAAAATCGTATATAGAATTATTGAGTATTGCAGCATTTAAACTTTGAATGAATGTTTCTTTGAGGCCGTTCTTCTCACCAAAACTGTGTAGAATCGACGACAATGTTGAACTACCTGTTTTGCCAGTTTTAACAAATACAAAGGAGGTCCTTGGTCGGCATTGTTCCGATTTATTATCAGATAGGTTGTATGTAAATGAGCTGATTACGTTATCTTGCTGAGTGTTCTTGTCTTTTCCCGATGGGTTATGTTCGTGTTTAATGGTTGTTTGTATCGCCTTAATATTGGTTTGGTTTATGGATTGCTTTTTGTGAACTTTCTTTTTTGTTTTAGTACTGCTGTTATTTTTCGTCATTATGTAATCTCGCTGAGTGTTTTTCACATTTCCTAATTGTTTCTGTTCGAGTCCAGTAATTGTTTGCATCATGTTAATATCAGTTTGGATCAAATGTTCATTTCTCTGGTTCATCTTGCTGTGTTGTATTCTGTTATTAAAATTAGGCATTGTACTGTTTCCGCTTCCCTTCTTGTTAGCATTACTGCTTCTGGTACCCGTGGTTGACGAAAGCGTCACATTATCGCTTTTATTTGCTAGTCTGGTGTCCACGTATCTGTAGAATGATAGATAAACAAATGATTACGAGGTGTGTAACATATGACGGGTTGACGATTTATAAAACTACTATTATGATACAGAAATATATATCAGTGTAAATACGACGGATCGCTAAAGTGAACAAATAGCATGATTAAGTTCATCTCCGAAGTGACATCATTGTAGAAGGTTTAGTCTTATGTAAATTGCAAGAGTGTTATGTAAATCCCAGGAATGTTTAGCGAACGCTGGCACGTACGAGTATGTCTATACATTTCTGTATACTTCAGGATATATTGCAACAAAAACACATCAGAAATAAGTAAAGTTTCAACCAGAACAAGATATAGCATCAAACAGGATATAAACATATCTGGCGTATATCATACAGGCTATTGTCTAGTATTTAATTCTAAGTTAAAATAATTTACACTTAAAAAAAATGTAGTTTATTTTTTACTGCCTTACAAATATCTACATTCCACGTTTTCCAGAACTATAGTCTCGCTTTCTCATAAATTGTGTTAAGCCTCACCCCATTTGTTTCTGTTTATATTTCGGTTCTGTGAATCGTGGATTTTCCAGTAGATCCCTGAAGTCCACATACATGTACAAGATACAGACTGTGCCAAATAGAAAAACAAATACAATTGGCTTCATAACCATTGTAATCTGAAAACAATAAGGAATTTTGTTACACATTCTGTATTCTACTTATTGCCCTGGAGTAGAGATTATTTTATTTTATGTTGTGGTGTCTTGTTAATTTTAAAATAAATTAAACCAAGTACAGACATTTTTTTATGAACTTGTTACGCCAATATTGTCAAACCTTCATATAATTAATGAAGGAAACACGGGACATGTCTTCAACCATTGAACAAGTGTGTCATGATTTTCCATAAATTGTCCATGATTTGAAAAGACGAATCAAGAAATAGTAAAAAATTAACTTGCCAAACCCCATCTTCTTAACTGATTTCCAATCAACAATCGACACTACAGTATACTTACTTACCTATTCAGTTCAGGGTCTTCGAATTTCGTAGTACGATATGAATGCCTAGTAGATTCAACAACCTGGCATGGAAACAACAAATGATACAAAATGTGTGTTTGTTTGTTTGTGTGTGTGTGTGTGCAGCTTGCACAGTTTAATCCTTTGTGAACTAAAATTGTCATTAGCGCTATTCACACAACGCAAATTCAAAAATTAAAAACAAATCACCAGAATTTAACAACCTTTCATATGTAGATTACACGCACAGGACCATAAGCATGACTGCTGTTTTGGGTAGTATAATAATAAATACACATTAAAGTCTAATCATTGACGACATTTTTTGCCCAATTACACTGAAGAGCACCACCAGAGTTAGAAGGTTGGTAAACTTTTGTTTTATTTAATGAAGTGACTGTCGGTGCTACTCATGATCAAAACATTGCGAATGTGCTAGACTAAATATGTGTTGAGTGGGGAAAAAGTGAAAAAAATATCAAACTTTGAATATTAGTCCTGTTTATCAACAATGCATATTATTTTCATAAGATGTAATATCATTATGAAATACAGTATGAAGAATTTGGTCACATTACCACAGTAGAAATCTGCAGATACTAACATTTGTAACAATAACATTTGTTTAATAAAATTTTGAATATTAAAATTCCTCCAATGTGTATCATTAGTACTGCTGGGACATCAGCTGCCGAAAAAAGAGCCCTCACACAGCCATCACAAGGAATGTCCTGAAGTAATACAATGAAAACAGATGCAAGCAATGAAACTGGTGGACTAATGTGTAACATCTTCCAGCAGCCCCTAAAACAGACAGAAAGGCTTGTTTTATTAAAAAATAGTGTAGTAGCAACAGACCCACTCAGCTGTTCGTTGTTTATTTACAAAATCATTCACTGGCTGGGTATTTTTTACCTCGTTTTAGATTCACTGTTTAACTTTCTTGAGTGTAATGATATTTGTTTGCCAGTTAATATAAGTCGGAGTCAGTCAATGGAAACCATAAAATGTTGTTTCTTGCTTTTTTTTCCATGTTTTCATCGACACCCGACCACTCATCGATCTTTGTACACTAACTAGGTCGCAAATAATAGTATATATGTATCTACCTTTCAGTAAATGAATGTATGTACATGCCGATAGTTCGAAAATTGAAACAGTGAGTATGTAATCATTTCCATTTTGGTCCGGGACTGACTTTTTCTGAGCATGCTTAGTCGATTCAAATGACAGACATGCTGTAGGGCGTGATCCAATCTGATTAAAATCTGATGTATTGTACGGCGTGTATTCCATTATATATTTATTTTACTTTTACAATTGTTTTTTTAATTATTTTGTACTTTTTTATGTTTTTTGTTACGTACTTGTGATTCGGTATATTTTAACTATCTTTCGCAAATACCAAAACAACTTCAAAAAATAAATACAAGATCAAAATAAATTAAAATAAATATACAATAAAAAAAAATCCAAACTAGGATTTTTTTTAAACAGATTAGGGGTGAACATTTCTTGGCACTTCAGTCAAAATATGTGCATAGTATGCACATGTATATATATACCATTTATATTGTAGTAGATTAATGATAAGATAATACAATCGTAGTTGATTGTATTATGTGAGTGACAAAAACACCACCACACAACGACTTGAATTTTTTTAATCAATTATTGATTCAACCAATAGAGGGCGTTGTTATATGACTTGCGTGGGTGCATTGAAGGCTGCATAACCTATATTACGTTTGTTTGAACTTAAAATGCTTTCCGTTGTAATTCAATGCCAGAAAGCTAATTACGTTTCTTGACAAAGACTTTCTGCAAGGTTCAGGGTCGAATTGACTTGTGGAATGGAGTGAGTCAGGACAGCTGAGATCATGGTTGAGTGAATATATTAATAGCGTCTGCTTTATCTTGACTTGCTGCGTCTCGGCCATGACCTACATTGTGGCCAATCTTGTTGTAGTCGTCGGGCAAATGTTGCATTTATATCATACGCCTAACATTATGGTGATACGATTGTTCAATATTTCTGTACATTCAGATTGAAATAAAAAAAATCATTTAAATATTAATTAATATTTTTAATTAATTGACGTGAACTTGGAATGTGTTATATACTCTATTCGTTTTGTGATTTGTAACTTTACATTGAAATGAGCGTTTACGATAAATGATAATGTTATCTTGTGCTACGATATACATCACTAAGAAATTGTATCTGATACTATGTAGTATTGAATATTATTGATTGCTTTTGCTAACTAAACACAGGCAATTTTAATGTTTTAGTATATCCAAAATAACCCGTATGTAGACAACAGGGTTCATTTCATTAGTTTCACTAATTCATCATAGATAGGTTTAGATTGTTCAATGAGCTTGACCATTTCAATTGGCAGATCGCTGGGTAGTGGCCTGTTGTTTTCATCCTTTTTCTGCACAATGAAATGGGTAGATTCCGTTGCTGTCTTATAAACCGCGTCATAAACAGGCGATCCCATTATATGTTCATTAACAAATGGATCACCATTCCCGGGCTTCCATTTCAACATCGAGTTGGAGAAAGGAATGCCTACATCGCTACAAAATTTTTGTAATGTAGCTGCAGGTGCGGCTGCGAGGTCATCTCCGTCAACTATTATGGGTTTTTGGCCAAGTTCATCTTTTACGTACTTAGCAACGCTCAACACGGCGTCTAATGGTACCAATTTCGATGTGGTCGTGATGGGATCTTTCAACCAATCAACTATGCTACTCAAACCATTGACTTTCTCATAAAGAGATGGAATGGCTTTATCCGGTCGTCTTATAATGAATGCATGGATGAATCCTCGCGGAAAGTACTGCATGTCATTCACGATAGATACCGGAATATCTTTAGCCAAAACAGTGTCGTAGCCTTCGTAGTCGGCCTCCAGTCTTCTCTGGACCTCCGCCTTCGTTAAATCAGACATACATGGAAAGTCAGGGTCAATAACCCTATCTGCAGCGAACAAATCGACAAAAATATATGGTTCGTGAAACGCTTTGATTGTTGGTTGAGCCGCCAAACACATTTCCAAAATGGTTGATCGTGTTCGGGGGTGAGCCCATATCATTATTCGTTTGGTGGTTTTCTTTGTTTCGGCCATTATTCTGAAATGATACAAAAGAAAAGTGTGATAAAACAAAACCATTCGACCGTTAATATACATTTATCTCTATATCTCCAAATTTCATGTATTTGAATTATTAGGTTATTTTAACTTTTGATAAATTTCAGATATTCTTAGTATCTATGTCATTTATTCCATATCTGCTTCCAGTACCTTCAAAGGACACACAAGTGTTATTCTAGGATTTTAATGCGTTGCTAGCTTGGTTTTTGTATTGTATGTTTATGTCTACAACATATATTGGTCACTAGAAAAAATATACAAGGCTGATGATTTTTGTTAAAGGTGTATATTTGCGTTGGAAAGGTTATTACAGGCAATACTAAACGAATCTTTTTTTACCCTTGTCCGTGTCATAGTATATAATTTAGAATTCCAATAGACTACGTTGTAATAGTTATGTTATGTTTTTATATTGCACTGGGTTATCTTTACGTGCAATTATCGATTCAAGCAAAAATCGGAGGAGTGATCTGGCTTAACCAGAAGCCCCCGATTGAAGGCACTAACATTGGCATTTTGTATAGTTAACGGTATCATGTCCACACGAACGTACCTGGTGGTCGTTCCATTTATGACATTTATCCTGTGAATTCACTCCTTAAACTTTTTTTTATTGCTGTATTGAAACTGCATGGTAAGTGGAGTTAACGGAAAAAATACCTTAAAGTTGATCGTTACATACTTTCAGTATTTACAGGACATGTTAGATGATTTTACGCTTTAGAATTTAAAGAGATAACGTTATGCAGGTTTTCGGGAAGGTTTGCACAGTATAATCATGAAGTCACCCAATGGCCAGATTTATATTTCTTCAGTCCGGCGATGCGCTGTATTGCTTTGTGCCAGGGTTTCTTACGCATCATTTAAGACGTCTGTTGATTTATTGAACGAGGCCTTTTTGACCCCAGTATTTTACTTCCTTATTTATTTATTTATTTATGCAAGGGCAAATCACACGTTGCTGTATTTGTTTTCAATTTCCCATCGCAAATCGCGATATTAAATTGAGATATAAACTACAGTATGCGGTATGGATATAGTATTGACATACCCGGTATTGTATGTAGTATTGACATACCCGGTATTGTATGTAGTATTGACATACCCGGTATTGTATGTAGTATTGACATACCCGGTATTG